CAGTGAACAGCTAGGTAATATTCATCTGTGAGTTTGGATCGTAACTCCCAATGCCAACTTTAAGAATGTATCTGATSTAACTCATGAGAGACTTTCTTTTTCAAATAAAGATAATTTTTTAAGTTCTACGAACTTCAAGAAATGTAATTTTCAAATTCTGATGTGTGTAATGTCATAAAATTTATTCTAATAAGGCTTTAGAAACATGTTGCGGACAAAACGTGGTTGCGCAAAGAAAAGGACAACAGACAGGGTCCCAAGAGTGACTTCTTAATAGAGGTACCACTGTATGTACTGTAAAACAAACCTCTATTCAGAGGACTTAAGCAGACAGCGTATAAGGCACAGAAGGTGTCTGCTCATACAGGAACCACTGTATGTAATAGATCAAAAACGAGTGCGAGYGTTTGATCAGGGAATCCAAACACCGAGAAACAGATGAAAGCATGAGGCCGTTAGGTCTCATTATAATTCATTTGTTCTTGTGATCTCGCGAGACTAAAAAAGTGATCAGTGTTTTGATCAGCGTCTTGATCCGTTTTTGATCAAGTATCTAGGTGCGTGCACGTGACTACAATGCAAAGTCGCCATTGGTCATTGACCTCATGAATTCTTATTAATGAGGTTTGAGAAGTGCTGCATACCAAACCTCTATTAAGCGGACACCCTCTATTAAGTACACACCATACRAGGTCCCGAAGGGGTTCTGCTTATACATGTACCCCTGTATGAATACAGGTACCACTGTATACCCCTCTATTAAGTGGACACTATGCATGTCTGCTCAATAGAGATACCACTAGCCGTTCTCATACCGTTTTACATTTCTAGAATGGACAAAATGCGATGCTAAATGTGGCGACGGTGTACAGTATAAAATCATTTTAGAGGATGTGAAAAAGCCTGGTTGCCCCGCGTACAACAAAAAGGTTACCAAGACTAATATACAACAGCCATGCAGTGCCCCGAACCCTTGCCCAGGTAAGACATCTCGACTTATTATTTTCCAATGCGCTGTTCAATGAGGAATTACCCAATTACCCAATATCTAAACATATGTCTGTTCCAGTAGCAGAAGCAAAGACAAGAAATACAGCAAATAGTTTTTAACCATCACTCTCCGCAAGTGGATCTTCCGTKAGGTCCGGTCCACACGCACACGTACACTACCACTACATTCGCTATTTACAACACACTGAACTCACACGTTGATTTTACGAAGGGAAGAAAACAGCTGACAATCATATTAATTATTATCAGATGCAACACATTGACCGGTTTTGGTATACACCTAACTCAAAAAACGTTAATTTTTTCCAGTTAATGGTGGATGGAGTGCCTATTCAGCCTGGTCTTCGTGTAGCAAGACCTGTGGTGGAGGAACACAGAAGAGAACCCGTACTTGCACNGTTTGATCAGGGAATCCAAACACCGAGAAACAGATGAAAGCATGAGGCCGTTAGGTCTCATTATAATTCATTTGTTCTTGTGATCTCGCGAGACTAAAAAAGTGATCAGTGTTTTGATCAGCGTCTTGATCCGTTTTTGATCAAGTATCTAGGTGCGTGCACGTGACTACAATGCAAAGTCGCCATTGGTCATTGACCTCATGAATTCTTATTAATGAGGTTTGAGAAGTGCTGCATACCAAACCTCTATTAAGCGGACACCCTCTATTAAGTACACACCATACAAGGTCCCGAAGGGGTTCTGCTTATACATGTACCCCTGTATGAATACAGGTACCACTGTATACCCCTCTATTAAGTGGACACTATGCATGTCTGCTCAATAGAGATACCACTAGCCGTTCTCATACCGTTTTACATTTCTAGAATGGACAAAATGCGATGCTAAATGTGGCGACGGTGTACAGTATAAAATCATTTTAGAGGATGTGAAAAAGCCTGGTTGCCCCGCGTACAACAAAAAGGTTACCAAGACTAATATACAACAGCCATGCAGTGCCCCGAACCCTTGCCCAGGTAAGACATCTCGACTTATTATTTTCCAATGCGCTGTTCAATGAGGAATTACCCAATTACCCAATATCTAAACATATGTCTGTTCCAGTAGCAGAAGCAAAGACAAGAAATACAGCAAATAGTTTTTAACCATCACTCTCCGCAAGTGGATCTTCCGTKAGGTCCGGTCCACACGCACACGTACACTACCACTACATTYGCTATTTACAACACACTGAACTCACACGTTGATTTTACGAAGGGAAGAAAACAGCTGACAATCATATTAATTATTATCAGATGCAACACATTGACCGGTTTTGGTATACACCTAACTCAAAAAACGTTAATTTTTTCCAGTTAATGGTGGATGGAGTGCCTATTCAGCCTGGTCTTCGTGTAGCAAGACCTGTGGTGGAGGAACACAGAAGAGAACCCGTACTTGCACTAACCCACCACCAGCTCACGGTGGAAACCCTTGTTCTGGTGCTGCAGAAGAGACCCAGGAATGTAACACAAATGCCTGCCCAGGTCTGATATTTTTCTCCACGATGTTTTTCTTTGGAAAACAAAAATACAATTTCCATTTTATACTATGCATATTATAACATTATGCTTATAAAAACTTTTAAAACGTTTTTTTTTCTATTTAAAATAAGTTAACGGTGGATGGACATCATACTCGGACTGGTCTTCGTGCAGCAAGACCTGTGGGGGAGGAACACAGAAGAGAACCCGTACTTGCACCAACCCACCACCAGCTCACGGTGGAAAACCATGTTCTGGATCGGCAGAAGAGACAAAAGAATG